ACATATTTGAATTTTTTTGGGCGGGTTGCGATTCAATTTTTGCTCAGAAACGGTACGGCAATATAGGTTTTGGTATTAAAATGCTACACATTTGACCGGGGTACACCCCTTAATAGGTGGTAAGGTGCATAATAATTTTAGTGTTAATTATTGTAAATCTAAAGTAGGAATCAATAAAGTTAGTGACATGATGAATGTGTTTGATCAGATTATACTAACGTAGTATGCTATGCGTTAAGAAAAAGATTTCAACTATTTGAAGCATTAGCGGAAATAGGCGACTCACTGTCAATTGATTAGAGAGTATTTAAGCCATCGTGCTCTATACTTTACGTACCGTCTGTCGTGCAAAACGAGGGACTTAGCTAGTCGTATGTTTTGCAACAGTTAGGACGTAGTAAGAAATCACGCGTAGTACCGGCTCTCACTTGACGCATGACTGCACGCATATGATTAACACCAATCGCGAGCTTTCAAGACTTATAACCCTAACAGCAGTCTAATGATCACATTATTTAATAAATTTTTGATTAATTTTATCTTATGCGCTAAGAGCCGTGATAGCTCAGTGTCCGGGCCCTCGCCTTTAATTACATTTACTCGAGCAACCTGAGTTCGATCCCGGTGCCGGCATCAATGAAATTTTTATCGGTGGAGTTGATTAAAATTATGATGCATGAGTAATTAATGTGAAGTGTATATGTAGTGTATAATAAACGGGTGGCTGGCTTATCACCAAAACAGAATCTTAAAGATATATTACAAAAATCGCAGACACATCGGAAACGTTGAGAAGCCAATGGTGTGAATTCATAAAGAATTGCAAAACAATAAATCGAATCACAATTGTAATTTAATAAATTTTGATGCAAGAAACACGGACTAGAAACACATTGATACAGTTCTAAGAAGCTAAGAGCTCTGCATCATAGCTCGGTGAGTCACCTGCCGAGCCCTGCTGTATGCGATGCTCGGGATCGTCGACCGGCCACCTATATACGCCACAACAATGGAGGCGGACAAACAAACATTAAATCATAGCGAGCGACGGTACAATACAATGCCTAAGCGCGATGTAACCGATACCCGCTGAAGACCTCCATTGCGAGCAGCCAAAGGAACTTACCTTCGGTTTCAGGGTTGTGATTTGTAGCTAGGGATGTCCCCTGATCATTTCATTTTGTTATTTAAGAATATTATCGAAAGAAAACGATCTAAGAAGGTTTAAGTCTCAGGCTCGCATGGCAGTAGTTCTGCATGTGTAAGCGTGTCGCTGTAACCTGCACAAATAAGACACAGACAGTACCTTGGATTGGTCGTTGGATCGAAAAACCGGCACCCCTACTACTAATTGCCATAAAGAATTTACGACATATGTATGCATTAGCCGTGATGGCTTAGTGTCCGGACGCTCGCCTTTAATTCAGTATACTCAAGCAACCTGAGTTCGATCCCCGGTGCCGGCACTAATGAAGTTTTTAACTTTAAGTGCTGACTTAGCACGTGCTCCGCGGTGAAGGAAAACATCGTGAGGAAACCTGCATATTTTCGAAATAATAACAAAAACAAATATTTCGAAGATATATGAAGTCCACCAATCCGTAGTGGGGCCGCATGGTAAACTATGCCCTGATACCCCCTGTATAGAGGAGGCCTTTATCCCAGCTGTGGGACATGTATCTATAGGCTGTTACTTTAATTTACTAACTTACTTTAATGGACGCATTAAATTGTACTCAGTTGTTAAAATATTAACATGCCGTAAAAAAACAGTCACATTTTGCATAATTTTTCTAACCAAATCGTTGAAAAATCGCGGTAAAATTTTTCTCCGACGTTTTTGTGTCAAAAAAAACAAAACAAAATCTGAAAGAGACGAACTGAAAAATATTGAAAGGTCTGTGTACATCACAGAATTTTTAATTTAACGTTTTTCGTTAACGTCTTCTTTTTCTTCTTCTAGTGTAAAGCTACTTGAGCTGTGTGATAGAAGCAACTAGCCGCCGCACATCAGCGTGTAATAGAAGTACCTTTGTTCTTTCTGTTGAGTTTTAAACCCTATAAGTTATCAGATCACTTACCATTGGTTGGAGCACTGTCGTTTTACACCGTCTACGCCGAATAATATACTAGTGACCTTAGTGACCGAGGTGCACGTAGCAAGCACTCAAGCTATGTAGCTTTTAGTCTCTGGGAACGTTACAGCCTGTTTTAATTCAAGAGTCGCGGGTACGGTATTAATATTTAAATTTAAAAAAAAACTAAAACTAAAAAAAAAACTAAATTTTGAACTTAAATACTTTATCATTATTGTGCTATATCATTATCAGAGGACATTTTTGTTTTCAGTAAGTTTAATTCGCTTAGGTTAACTCTCCAAGGTGGTATTTTCGATAGAGTAGTTAAATATCTACAATCCAGAACCTGTGCGTAGAGAATCTCGGCAAATAGCACGCCTGGCATACACGCGTTTTTCAATAAACAGCAATGCAGGAAACGTCCACATTTCCCTATTACGGTGGCGGTTGCGTTCGACACACGTCTCGCTGCGCTTACACAACGGATCCGTGTCCCACAACGGTTCAACGGTTGCGCAATGCCAATAGGAATATTGCTGTAGCCACGCTCTTCCTATTGCAGGTGACGTGGTGTTGACCAAGTTGACGTCACCCCCTATCTTAGGGTCAATGCATCATTACCTGGCACATGTTCTCAACTACAAGATCAAAAGTATCTAGGAACTTTCACACAAGGAGTAGTTTTGTAATTAAAAACGTAAAAATCTCTTCACTCTAGCCTCGATGACACCCATTGAAACGACGGCCGTGGGCAGGTATGCAACCCTCGCTGTACGCACTATGAACAACAAAACGAAATTTTCAACGAACCTTTCATATTAAAGACATTAAGACTTTTATTCCGTCACCTTATAATAATGATACAAAACTTAAACACTAAAATTACAAAAATGACAATGATGACGACGAAAGAAACAACGATGATGAATGAAACAATATTATGATAAGAGATCAGACGTTCTATTATATTGTTCAAGCCTTTCAGCCCTAGGCAGACTGGATAATGGACTTGAATTAAAGAATTTTGAAAAGGTTGTCAACGCATCTGTAACACTCGGGTGTAGCAGATGTCTATGGGCGACGGTATTCACTTACCATCAGGTGAACTGTCTGCTCGTGTGGCAACTTTTCACTTAAAAAAAAAAAAGAATTACGAATAGTGATGGTTAAAACATCACACTACAACAACCTAAGATATTGATTACGGAACCCTATTTCTTACTATTGATAATTTCAAACTTAAATTGCGTGGTGTACGGCTCACAATGGAAACATTTCGACTCGGACTATCTACCTTAATTTTTTTTCTACGTCATTTTATAAAACAATAATAAATAACGAAGAAAACATAGAAATTATTACGAATAGATACAATGGTGCCAGCCTTATCCCATACATAAATCATTCTTTATATGCACTCAAAACAAATTAATTCATTATTTTGTCTTTCGCATAGCATTTTAAATCACCGACACAAGCAAGTCACGAAATTGGCAACAATATAAAAAAACATAATTTATTTTACCCGAACACAGCCATTGCGAAAGAAGAAATATGTTATGAAATTATTGACGAAATGACCTTGATTCGACGTAAAAAGGTATTAATGTTTGTTCATAGGTAACATTTCAAATATGCATAGTAGTTTAGTGGGCGTGCTTGAATATCGTAACGTGAAAAGTGTATAAAGAGATTGCGACCAGGTTAATCTGATTTTAAAGAGATTTGCATACTATGTTAGTTTATGTCGAATATACTTCTCGCAGAATAGCTTGTGAGTCTTTGTTACATTACTTGTGCGATATAATTCTTGGATTGCATTTTCAGAATACGAGAATTTCTATGGCATTGACATAGCTTTTAACATCTGTGTCAATAGCATACACGGTTTCAGTGACAACAGGTGATGAATGCAAAAAAAACAATTGAAAATGTGAATATAAAACGTTCCTCCCAGCGATTAATAATATTCACCGAAGAACAAAGTCTCACCCTGGTCCAGAATAGACATCTGTCTGAGTTCCACTATGTTAAACTGGGCTATTATTATGAATTGCAGCAGATATACGCAGAGTTATCAAAGTACTACTATATGCTGCAGTTCTTAAGGATGTCACTTGGTCCTCGGTGAAAGTTGCATCTCGCCAAGCTAGAGAAAGCCACTGAGTTATAACCTAGCTGGATTATGGCTAGTAACTCGTCGGTCGGCCCTTCAACAAACCTTATTTTGTTTATTGGGAATGTGGTATTTGTTTTATTGGGAAGGGTATAGACATATTATATTGTACTAGAGCAGATATCGGAAAGACCAATGTTTAAACAGTATGTCGTGGATTGAATTGAAATACTTTCGCGTTTAAACTGGTGAGTGTCGTGGATTGCCCAATTTTCAAAATTTATAAGCATCTGTAACCCTCGAGTGTAACAGATGTCCAGGGCGGCGGTAAAATTGAATTAAAGTCAGTGTTTCAACGACCGTCTGCTCGTTTGACAACTTTTCGCATAAAAAAAAAAAAAAAAAAAAAAGGGGTATAGAAACGCTAAAACCTGAGTTTAGAAAGGCTTAGACCAGTATAACTTGCCTACTTCAGCCACTGTGGAGAATCATATCAATCACCAATTCGGAGGGATGGTCTCTGCAGCAGGCGAGTGTATTTATAAATATCGGATGCACTAATACTAGAAATATGAGAACTCTGAGTGAGTTACCATAATAGGAGAACAGCACAACTCTGGTTTTACTTTCTATATCAATGTGTTTCAAATGATTGCAGAAAATAAAAGTTGCAGTTGTTTCGAACCCTAATCAGAGTAGAACTCGACAAATCATACTCGGACATAATTTCCAAATATATCCAATTTACACAATGAGCCAAGGAAATATTTTTCCCCCGACGAACGGTATCGACGGGCAATTCGAAAATGCATGAACTTATGCCACTGCAGGCATTGCTGCGTTGTTCTACCGCGGAAAATTGCATAACATGCTATTTCACTGACGGCCCCACGAAAATACCGAGTGCTGGACTCGAGAGCGAAGCAGGGTTCAACGAACCGGCCTGTTCCGAAACGGTCAGAGCCGCGGCCGGTGATAAAAGTGAAAGCGACGCATTGCTTGAGCACAGCCTGACATGCCGATGCCGCCAAGCGGCTAGATCGTGCGCCGCGTGAGAAGAAACGGAGCGCGGACTACGGACGAGCGTATACGCAGATGAAAGCAAATTTTTAGATAGAAACTCTGTCACACCTGATGTACGCTTCCTCGGCGCGTTCCAAGATTTTGTTAAATGGAAACGCTTTGGCCTGTACACTTAAGTCCCAATTCGGAACCATTCGGACGTGGTCTCTTTTTAGTTTCCGTCGAAATCTATCCGATGATGATGCTTATGATTTGATAAAAGGAAAAGAAACAGCTAGGCACGCGAAGCATTTTTTAAACCGAACTACACTTTAAATGTCTAATGGAGATTAGATTTATTTTCCAATTGAAGATATGTGCTATTGCATGACATAACATTTTTGACCATTACTGACCTTTGGATCACATATCAGTAGGTATACCGCTAAATCTAGACCTCGAAACGCTAAAATAAAGATATGCTAAGTCGTACTATCTGGCGGCGTCAAGGCAATGGTTTTTGCTCACAGATTGCACTCAATTGACAAACTTCCTTATTCCTAAACTAGCGTCGAATGAGACCTGTTCTAGATCTACTAGGAACTGACAATTTGACGGAAATGAATCTTTTGGCTTGTTGCTTCGAAGCAGTTTTTTATTTATAAAACGAGGAACGTCTAACTGTCTAAATAAACAATCCTAACAGCTTTAACTCTAACACAATTCATAACTGCTTTGTCGGGCCTTAAATTTATTTGATTTTTTTTTAATAAATACAACTATTTAAAAAAAAGTAAAAGTAAGTGTAACATGGAACGCAATCAATATAAAATACTAACTAGACCCACTAACTAGAAAATAATAACTAGACCCATAACAGAAGTAGGGAGAGAGTTAATTAATAACATTACGCAAGAAGTAAAGGAAGTAAGATGTAGTGACAAAAAAAGCCATGTCTCGGTGGTAGGGCCATGCAGCAGCCTCAGCTGTTGCACGAATGGGCAGGCCCGTCCGAGTAAGCCACCACGACCTCACAGAAGACCAGCGTAAAGTGGAAGTATGACAAATACCTGAGCGTTTCGTCCGGTGAGTGAGGTAGCCGGAGCCCAATTTTCAAAAGGTTGTCAACTCATCTGTAACCTTCGGATGTGGCAGATGTCCATGGGCGGCGGTATTCACTTTACATCAGGTGAACCGTCTGCTCGTTTCACAACTTTTCGCATAAAAAAAAAAAATAAGACCAGACGCTCGCTTTTAATTAAATTTATTTAAATTCACTACAAATCCCTGTGTCAACACAATAATATTATCAATTCTGAGAGCTGACTTATATCGTACTAAGCGGTAAAGGGGAAAATCTTGGGAAGACTTAGATATTTTCAAAATAATAACAAAAACAGATATGTGAACTCCGCCAATCCGCAACAGGATCGCGTGATGTCTACGTCTAATATCCTGTATAGTCAATACAGATGGCCCTTGTTGAGCAGTGGGAGATACATACTCCGTTACTATACTACACTTAAAACAACTAGAAGAATGCAAATTCACCATTTTTTAGTGATGAAAGATTCCGCAACCGAATATATTTCCATTACCAAAAAGTATTTATTTGAATATCCATATTATAAGGAGCCTTATAAGAATACGTAGGTAGAATAAAAAGTAAAATGACTTGTTTTGTGCATAAACAGGTAAATTATACCGAAATGCACACCCCATGGTTCTCTATGTGTTCAGCAGAGGTACCCTTGGCTCTCCATCATGAAATCTTTCCATGGTATATATAATATATATATATATATATGTATATCATTTCATACCGAAATGAGTAGCAATGAGACCGTATGCATTTTGTGTATCGAAGCGTAAGTTTTCGCTGCAAGTTCGGCCATTGAGTACGTCCTTCAAAGGATATCCAGTTGTTATTAACGACAGTTAATTGCTGTTTAGTATCACAGCCCGTATTCAAAATAGACGGTTGCAAAAACTAAAACTCACGTTGACTTATCGCAATTAAAACGTGTTATCCATTAAGTTTTTGCGCTCCGTTTTAATTTCGTTTCCGCTGGAATGGCTTAAGTTAATGTGCGATAGAAAAGCTGGTGCGTAGTACATGTGGGAATATGATTTAAGTTATGTCTTGAAAATTTCATTAAACATGATTTAACATAATATATATACTCTGTTTTATATGACGGTGGATGCTTGTGTTGGTTAAAATGAAACTGTACTTCGGACTCTGAATAACATTTAAAGTTTATCGTACTTACAGCAAGATGTTTTAAAGGTGTGGTGACATGTAATGAAGGCACCAAAATTATCCATGGTAGTTACAAAACGGGGCTTATATTTTAATAAACGATTTTCAACTTTATTACAACGGTGTAAAGTTGACTTGAACAAACACAACACAATATGTTCATGACATTTTTGGCGGTGCAACGAATACAAACAAAAGCTTAAATTGACCATACTTCTTTTTAATTTAAACATTTGTAGGGTTCCGTACTTAAAGGGTGAAACGGGACCCTATTACTAAGACTCTGCTGTTTGTCTGTCTGTCCCTGGATCACCAGCCTATATGTCATGAACCGTGATAGTAAGACAGTTGAAATTTTCACAGATGATGTATTTCTGTTGCCGCTATAACAACAAATCCTAAAAAAATATTGTGATTAAGATTATAAGTATATTTAAGTGGGGCTCTCATATAACAGACATATTTTTTTGCCGTTTTTATAGATAATGGTACGGAACCCTCGGCACGCGAGCCCTAGTCCCTTACTAGGCCGTTTATTTTTCTCTTCTCAATAAAATTCTTATGAGAGAGTTTCTTTTAATCTCATAAATGTTATGTCGGGTACTAAGACCAAAATCACCAGCCGTATTGCATTCAGTATTTTTGAAGTTATACTTCTTTCAATGTGGCCAGCCGAGATGCTCGGTGTCCGGGAGGTCGACTTTAATTCAATATACCTGGGAGGAACCTGACCTCGCTCGATGTTATATTAAAGACAATTTTGAACATGTTAAAAACTTGAAATATTCAAAATTAAATTAATATTTTTTCGAGTTTACTTTGTTGCAACAAAAATACACACGTTCTTTTGTTTCTTTTTTCTTTAGTCCGTTGCTCTCGGTGGATGGATTTTACGACCTTGATAATTGCATTGTAAATAAATAAATGAAAGAAGCCGTGATAGCTCAGTGTCCGGGCGCTCGCCTTAATTCAATGTATACTCGAGCAACCTGAGTTCGATCCCCGGTGCCGGCACCAATGAAGTTTTTAACTTTAAGTGCTGAATTATCACGTGCTCCGCGGTGAAGGAAAACATCGTGAGGAAACCTGTATATTTTCAAAATAATAACAAAAAAAAAATGTATTTCGAAAATATGTGAAGTCCGCCAATCCGCAGTGGGGCCGCGTGGTGGACTATGCCCCGATACCCTCTGTATAGAGGAGGCCTTTGCCCAGCAGTGGGACATGTATAGGCTGTTACTTTACTTTTTTAAATGAAAGTAAGTTCAGGAAGCGATGAAATAAATGAGATTAAGTATTAACAAGGACTGTAATAATTCTCTATTAATTATAGACTACGGTTTTATTGATGAGTAAAAGAACTAAAAGATGTTGTTTTTTCCATTTTTTTATACTGCTACATATATTATATATCTCCGCACGTAAGATGAAACATTAAAATTTAGAGGAAAAGGGACGAAAACCTTTTTAGCGCTGCAGAAATCGAACCCACGTCTTCTGGATTCGCATCCAAAGGCTTTAACCACTAAGGTAAATGGCTGATTGCCACACCGATGAATACCTCAACGTCTTTTGTCTGGTTTTTAATGTTAATTATTCGTAGTTTTGAATTTGGTTTAATTTGTGTTGGTTTAATTTAAGATTATATAATAATTGGCTTATTACGGGAATTCGCTACAGAATTACTCATTCGTTTTTACATTATGCTCTTAATTGGATCGCAGGTTTTACTCAAACGTAAGATGACAATAACAATTCAAATTGAAGCAATTCAATTCAAGTGGAAGCAATGTTCATAGAAACCAATTTGTCGGATATGAACAAGTAGGTTTATTCAATTTAAGCTAATATCTTATTTATGCTCCTAACTTATAGCTATATACACTTTTTTGAATGAATTGATATACCGAAATAGACAATTGTTTGATTTTTTTTAACTAATGAAAAGCTACATTACATTACGTTTTTCAAAAAAATATATAATTAATGGTTTAAAGTTCGACAACGCATGGGTGTTAGCATTAGGCGAACCGCCTTCTATTTTTGCAAATTTATCATGTTAAAAAAATTTAACATATTTGAAATTCTTAACAATTAATCATATCTTTACTTATATTTTTGTTAAGAATAAACTCAAAAATTACTGGAGCGATTTCAAAGACTCTTTCACCGTAAGAATGCTTGTTTTGGCAAGAAACTGGAGTTTCCAATAATAAAACTCAGGAATTCGTTATTTTACAACTTTACTGCTGATTTGATACAAGAGAAGTGATGCGTGCAATGGTTGGATTTTGAATATAACAAATCACAATATTGTATAATAAAATATTTTATATAATAAAAATTTTGCTTTAATAATCTTAAAGTACCGACACAATCAATCAGCTTGCTGTTTATATACTGTAGGTGCTTGAACAATGATAATTATATTATCCATGAGTAACAAGAGCTATATTAATTAGTAGAAAAAAATCAATCCCAACCCTCTGGTGGTAAGCGCAGCAAATTACCAACCCGACACTAACGCGAACATCAACAAGCGTCGCCCGCTAAACGTCCTCATCGACCCGGTCGACGAAGAGGACTTAGATACGATGGACCCACCGCCGGAGGTCCCGCCGGATAACACTACACCCACAGTTAGTGTAACAACAATCACACCAGTTCGCCCTCGCCTCCGAGCACGGTGAGACCCACACAACGCGTACACAAGGTACAGCCGCGTTCCGGGGCGGTTCTCACCGCTCCCAGCCACCGATTAGCTAAATGTACAGTCGACGGCCGTCGGGGTCTCGGTCCGAACCGCGACCTCGACGGCCCTTAGATGACACACCATAGTAGTTAAACGCACGCATGAGCACATGCGCGACCCTACCCATAGCGGAGGGTCCAAACCCGTGGGTTCTGGCTAGTCCACCGGTTCTGCGTCCGATGAAGCTTCATCAGTTAATACAAGATACAAGATAGAAAAAAATAGGGATCCGTACTAAAACTTTAATTATGTAACAAAGGTGTAATGTCCACCCGTGCGAAGCTTTGACGAGCCGATAGTGTATGATTATAGTACATAATGTTAACAATAAAAAAAATTGTTTCTTAATATGTCAGATTCGAAGGAACTTTTATATTTATCCTCTCATGCGAAGGAAGTTAAATATTTAATCTACTTGCATAACAAATATTGAAACAAGCTTTACAGACGATGGAACTGATAGTGTTATTCTTAGTTTTTCATAAGAGAACCAAATATACACGCGCCAAAATTTTAACCAAAAAATTTGCTATTTTTTTGTTAGTTCATTGCGGTTCGAGGGTTTCACTCGAGCAGTGTGTATATTCAAAGTCCAATCTTGAATAAGTATTTTTAGAATAGTCTATCAGCGTCTGTTCAACTGTTCCAACATGAACCAAGCGGTACAAAGATGATATTGCGGTAATTTAAAAATTTAATAAAGTCAATTATATATGAAGTATTCATTGGAAAATATTTAGGAAAATTGTAAATATTTAAGGGTTTAAGCCTTATAATTATATATTAGGAAGAATTACACAGAAAAAAGATTCACTCGTTAGAACAAACATAAGTTCCTATGTCCACTACTGTCTTAATCATCCCCTTCAATATTAAACAAACTTTGAATACTCGTCTCAATTTTTGTTTCTTTTCTTCCAGGTGAGAGCTGCATAGAGAAACCTTTAGCGACGCTATGGCGAAACTACCAGCAGTCCACCAAGCCCGACGTGGTGATGAAACTCTCCGTCACCAACTCCGGTCTAAAAGGGTTCACCAAAGAGCACGGGCTGACCGAGTACTGGTCCCACCGTATAACCTATTGCGCCAGTCCGCCCCACTATCCGAAACTCTTCTGCTGGGTGTACCGCCACGAGGGAAAGAAATTGAAGCACGAACTCCGGTGTCACGCCGTCCTCTGCACCAAAGAATCAGTATCAAAGAAAATAACCGAGGAGTTACAGTTTAAGTTGAAGCAAGCGTTAGTCGAATTCAAGAAAGACAGGATCTCAAAGCAAAACGCAAGGTTGAGCCTTGCGAACAGTGTATACGACAACCCGAGTATGCCGCGCAGGAAGATACTCCTTAGCGTTGGCGCGATGAACTACCGACCGCCCCTGGAAAGGTCAAAGTCCGCGCCGAAACTCGGTGCCATCGAGGAGCTCTGGTCTGAGGAAGACGAAGAGGAAGCAGAGATGAATGCCAAACAGAGCACGTGCAATTTCAACGCCGAAGATTTCTGCGCCACACAGACCTTAGACCGGCGAAGGCTGGAGGCGAAGTCCCCGCGAAAGCTCTCCTGTCCAGACGGTTTCATGAACAGATCGCAGCAAAAAGTTGACAATGATTCTAAAGCAACGGATGAGCTGATAGATCTGCTGGTGAAGGAGAGCAAAATGAAAGCGGAGAGTGAGGAGCGCGATAATACTAGTCATAGCGGTGGCGATCGTAAATCGGAACCGAGGTTGCAACTACTGGGAGCGATTTCAGAAACGCGAGAGCTTATCGACAACGCGATTAGCGTAGATGAGGTGCGAAAGAAATTGCATACGCAGAGTAACTTCCTCGTCACGGACAGCGACGACGGATCTGTTTCTTCGGGCTGTGAGACCGCAAGCACCGTTACTTCTTCTGATGCCGAGCCCTCGTCGCTCCCCTCGCAATACCCTCTAGAGGAAGCTAAAGAATCTGATAGCGACGAAGAAAGAGCCTCGATGTTCGACAGAGCTCAAATCTTCGAGCACGCATCAACGCGAGGCAGCAACAGAAGCTACGCAAACTCAATTCACGTGATAAATGACAGGTCGGAAACTTCGAACCCAACTGCTGCAGATGAGGTAAACCACGTGCCCATTGGTGAGAAGAACACATTCAGACGACGGTCCACTTATCCGCCATTGGGCACTGACTCCTCTGTGCTCGCGAGCCTCGAGGACAAATTCGAATCACTTATCGACAATTTGACAGACGTTGACAGTCTGAACTCTAGCACTGACGTGTTTAATAAGAATGCAGGTGACAATGATAGCGCTTGCAGCGACGAATCTGGATATTCAGAATTTCTGGACAACGGAAAAGATAGTATTATTGGTAACACAATTATGGTGTAAACATATGAATTAGAAATACAGCCACAGCAGCACGTAGGAATACTTTAGTAACATTAAACGTAAGAATTATTGTGTATAAAGTAGAGATTTATGTAAATAACAGGGTACGCGATGTACTTTATCCAGTTAATGTATTATTTTCTTTTAATGTTTGTATATATTGTAATTTTATTGTGTAAAATTTATTTCAAATCTTTAGTTAAAATATTGGAGATTTCTATTTTAATATGTCCCGAATGGCCACCTCTTCCTTTTATTCGTCCGTATTTATTATGATGTTTTAAATAATTTACAGTTCGATTTCTTTTCACTGTTCTTAGCCTTACGATGGTCTGTAGGTACTTACTTAGTAACATTCCGTATTTAAACTGTTGCATCTCGGTCATTCATTTATGTATGTAGAGAGGAATATTTTGGAGGAAAATAAAGTGACAGAAAAAAAAAACAATTTTTTCATTTAACTCCTTCTAAGCGATCGAATAAGCAATGAGCATTTGCTGGAAAATTCCCTAGCCATTCACCAGAGATATTCTAACAATACCTGAGTCCAGTAATCCCACGTACATCAGATATGTGGAAACTATCAAGGGTGAGCTCGATAGCTTTAGCTAAGTGCAATAGCCGTTTCACTTATAGAACATGTAACGTTAATGTGATAACACAGTGGAAGTATAAATTACGGCAGTTAACTTTTTTAAACTCTGTATAAAGCAATTAATTGTTATACTACCAATCTATTACAGATTATACAACATCATTATCTATACACTCGTGTAACGGCAAGGCCATTGACGTCCAATTAGTATTAGCAGTAGTAACAAGTGGCAATTTTCATTGAATATAGTTGCCCGTAATGACTTATCCTAACAATAAGGATCGGAAAGTTAAACGTAAAGTAACAGCCTATATATGTCCCACTGCTGGGCAAAGGCAGGACGCCGGTAGGTATAAGAGAAAAGTCCACAACACGATCCCACTGCGGATTAACAGACTTCAGATATCTTCGAAATATTTTTTTATTTTCTAAGATATGCAGGTTTCCTCACGAAGCTTTCCTTCACCGCCGAGCACGTGATAAGTCAGTACATAAAATTGTGATTAAGAATTGAAATTCCATTGGTGTTGCAACCGGGTTTTGAACTCAGGTTGCTTGAGTATAATGAACTGTAAGCGAGCGCCTGGACACTGAGCTATCATGGCTCGGTACCGGGCGCTCAACGAGTGGCTCTGTTATAAGTTGTGCGTTCATCAAGCTCAAGCTTGGAATGTGTTAATTTATATATCTATATATTACAAATTTATCTGAAACAATCAAAATTAATGGTTCTTTTAATCTACACAAAAAAAAGATAAAGGACGACTTTCAGATTTTCTTTCCTTTACAACACAGGATAATATTATCCTAAAGTAAGGGCAGTGTTTTTAAAAAAAAATAAAAAAAAAAAAAGATTTATTATCATACTCTGCAATCGACGATGTTTTATACACAAAATTAAGTGAAATTTTTCACGAGGGTTATGTTTTAATTTAATAATAAACAAATACTTCCTTTTTAAACATTTATTTTGTAATAATTGAGTATTTAATGATGAATTTATATCCACAAATTCGCTATATTACTTACCATTTAGTTCTAAAAATAATTTAAGGCAAAATCTAGCTGGAAGTTCCTTATGAACTAATATTATAAAGAAGGTCGCATCCAATGGAAATTGTTCTGACAGTAATATCATTAACCTGAGATCAAGTTTCCGTGTAAAATGACATTGCTGAACGCTGGCACAAAATCATCATTCTTTCTTACGACCCACAACATTTCTTAGGAACTTAAAATTAATTCAAAGTGGAGAACAGTTCTTAGTTTTTTTTTGATTTCCATTTTCCTTTCAAATCTTCTTCGCTTGTTCGATAACCATTTACATATCTACTCAAATATGCATCGAAAGTTGCAAGTAATAGCCGCGCACAGTATATAGGCAAGCTTTTATTATTGAAGTAGGTCCAACTCTTCCCTTTGCTTTGCACATTTCGAAGGATGAAGTCAAACTCACAGTAAATGGTGTAAGCAATAAAGATGAGTTATTAAATACTAACAATAAATAAAAAATAATGGTCCGAATTCCTTAGATAGTATACGGTATTTTTGCTTTAATGTGAGAGTTTCGTAAGGTGAATTTAAGTGCTTACGACGACTATACTATACTACTACTAATACTACTATACAACGACCATAACTATATACAAAATCTAAGGTGTTGCAGAATTAATCAACCATTTAAAATTAAGCTGCGGCTATTTAGTAAATTACCAGTTGCAAAGCGCAAAAGGATAATACCTACAGCACACACACACACGCACGCACGCACGCACACACACACACACACACACACACACACACACACACACACACACACAAAGCTAAATCAATTATGTCACATCAAAAACTGCCCTGTATCACAAAAATAGTTTATGGAAATTCTGAAATAGATTGTGTACTTTATTGAGTATTTGGGTAATATTGTAAGTAACGTGTCGAGCTCAAAGTCAAACACCGATTGTTTAGACTGCACAATCTGATCACCAAGACTTTAAGAGTAGGCTAAAGTAATACACTTGTATATAGAATATAACACGGTCCTTATTGAGACGAAGAGTTGACACGATTCAGACCAGCTCTCATGCTGTTCAATTTATGAGTATTATCGTTAGTACTTTTGTACGTTGACTTATTACTTGATCCACCCATTGATGAAGAGCGTCCATGTAATTCGCAACTAAATACTGTCCCGGCGTATCGCTAAGTTTTGAAACTTATTTTATTTAGTTATAATGATACACTTGATACTACAACAAAATTCCAGAAAACGTTCAAAATGCATCAATAGCTAAATTAAAAAAAATAATAAAAGAACGTTTGTGTGTTAAGGGCTATTATAATATTAATGATTATTTAAATGATAACACACTCCGGTAATGAATTGATCGCTCCAGGCTCTTTCAATCAGAGTTCTTATTTTGTATTTGTAATGAATTCATGTCAAACTGCTTATTTAAAAAAAAATAGCCCATTGAGTTTCTTTCGCCGGTTCTTCTCAGTACAGTGGCTTTCTTTTCCAAGCCGGTTGTAGTGTTTTGACTCTCAATAAGCGAGTGTAATACTCATATGTTGAATAAAGTCATTTGATTTTGATTTGAAAAAATACAATTAGATCGCCTGCGTCAGAGTCGTATTTGCCTACGAAGGTAGCTGTGTACGACACTGTGTTACGAGTTTTATTTCAACTATCCTCCAAGGAACTTTTCTGCATAAATATTAACAAATACAATAACATGAAAGTTGGAGTTATCGTTAAATTTATCTTCTTTACTCTAACTGAAATATTTTCATTTTATTACACTATCACAAGAATATTACGGCATTATATTTAATACTTTAATTAATGTTTAAATATTTTGTCATTTTTCATTTGTTTACATACATATATGCAGAATATTCAAGACAAAATATCAATAACATGAAAAAGATTACAAGTAAGTAAGAATTTAACAGTAATAACAACAGTTAATATCTTCAACTACCACTTTATCATCCACTTCCTTGTCAGCGCTATCCTTTCCTTAAACATCGTTTTCCCCGTCCGATGCGGAAACTTTGAAAGGGCCACGTGGCCTTTCACTTATTGGAAACCCTCGCCATTAAATCACGAGGAAACTGTTTACTTTATTGTTCTCGAAGTTTTATCGCGTGCTCCTCTGCGTGACCTTTGGTCGCGTGCAATTCGTATTCGTAAGAAAGGAGCTGTTTTCAAGATTTAAATGTTTACGGAGAATTGGCGACTCCGTGGCGCAGTTTCCAAGCTATTGGCTTCGGCGTCGAGGGTCGTGGGTTCGATCCCCACACGGGACAACTATTTGTGTGACCCACAGATAGTTGTTTCGGGTGTTTGTCAGTGTGAAATATATGTTCGTAAAACGTCTTTACAACACAGGATAATGTTATCCTAAAGTACTACGTACGGGCAATGCTTTTAAAAAAGAAAAAAATATAACCGCACAAATGGTGGTCGCTGATGAACACGCAAAAACATACAATTTTAGCAATGCGTACTTACGAGGGTATTTATTTAGTGTACTCGTGTTTTTACGTAAATGAGCAAAAATCTTTTACATTTGGGAATAGACGAAGAAAAAGACAATTTGTCGATGGAAAGTAAGAATTCGCGAAATTAACCACAGTTGTATTAAAAGTTTTACGACCGTTCACTTTTCACATGCTCTGCGCTAAAATGGTATACGTTGACTATATAATTATATCAAATTACTACTTTCAATTTTTTATTACATCGGTTACATTTTATTTTTGCGCTCACATTACTGATTTGTATCGTTTTAGTTTACGAAACTTCAAGTTGTCATTCGACTCGTCATAAGTGGTATACGCGCGGTATAGCTCGTTTCGGCTTAGAAAAACAGAAAGAAGTTGTTGACACACAGAAGCTGGTACCAAGGAAACATAAATAATATTTCATCTAATCCGTGTTAGCATGTCCTACTTTGTGAACTATGAGAGATTAAACAGTCCTAAAGATTTAAGACACAAACATAATAAAACAACAAAAGCTTCTACTGAGTATCTTTTTAACGGCAGTTTCTCGAGCCTACCTAAACGCGACGTAAACAGGAAAATTTTACTTCTGAAATGTCTTACACGAATAAGACGTAGATAACAGAATGTGTGGTGTTAAGTATTGAAGAACACCTAAGTATCTGGATTTTGTTTAGATGTATAGTAAGTTAAAGTAACAGCCTATACAAGTCCACTGCTAGGCAAAGATCTCCTCTTGTGCCGGCACCGGGTTTTGAACCCAGGTGGCTCGAGTATATCGAATTAAAGGCGAGCACCCGGACACTGAGCTTAGATGTATAACACAAACCATATATATACTAGTATGTAAATGTAAATAGATAAATATATTATCACACATTTGTATACAACG